TGAAACTTAATTTTGTTACCAGGGAGAGGAGGAGAGAGGACCATGGGGCGTTACACGGGGTAACTCTTAAACCAACTCATCTTGACACGATTGCGTGACAAGTTGCAAGAAAAGCTGCCTAGTGAGAAACTGCGTCATGTAACTTACTTAAGGTGAAAACTGTCCATGTCTTCTACATCTACTGCACTAACTCCTCCAGACACAAATACAAATGCTTTGTCACGCCCAGGTATCATGTTCTTCCGTGAATTTCCCTCACTCGCTACTACGTTTCTTTCGTCAAGCTCTTGTATTATTCCCTCTCTCAAATGAGCTGGACAGCAGATAAGATGGAGAACATCTTGCGAATAGGCACGATCATGTTCCTCAAAGTAAGCGAACAAAACTGCTAGTATCGGCTGGGTCCAGATTAGGCTTGACATGTAACTAATTATTCCGGAAACACTGAATTCCTCTTTATACCACTCAAAAACGCAAGTGTATCTAAAACAGAGACATCAAACAGAATTTAGTAATTACGGTATTACTTAAGATAGCTGTTGATACCTCAGGATGAAAACACCCTTCTGGAATTGAGGGAATCAGAAATGGCGGTCATTCACGTTATATGACGTAATGCATTACAAGATTTAACTACAGCAAGACGTTATTATTATTGACCCAGTCAAAATGGCCCTCTTCACACTAGAAAAGCACAAATAAGGTAATACATCTACATGCAAAGAGAGAAACAAATAAACAAACAAAAACAAAGAACCCTTAAATGTATAGACGTTCGAAGAGCAATATTAAAGCTCGTCGCGAATCAACGAATGTTTATCAGCCTTGACACATAAACTTGCGTATAACATTTGAATATAAGTTCATGATCAGTTCATAGGAAATATTATTCATTTCAAATGAGAAAAACAATATCTGAATTTCTTCTCACCCACAGAAGAGTTCACTCTGAAACGTAACAAATTTCCCGTCAAAATTTACATGACTTCTAAGATCACCAGTAATTTCCAACCATTTTTTATCTTCGCCATCAGAGTTTAAGAACAATACTCTGACACGGCATGTCGAGGGGTCTGGAGTTCCTTCCTGGTCGCTTTGTAGCGATACTGGCAACTGAATTGTGACGGGCTTCAAGAACTCGACGAGTTGAGGGCAGGTTATACGCAACACAGGGCCAAGAAACACGTCCTGCTCTTCAAATTCTTCAGCTGGAACTTCATGTACCTAGAAGAATAAACGACAAAACAAAAGATTTAAAAATAGCTAGTTTGACGTCTGATTCATATTTTCTTCGAGATTTGACAACTTGGCTAGATTTCTCTTGGGCCATATCTCGCGAGGCGAAACATGTAGCCTTTTACCGTTGTGTTAGTGACGCCGTAAAGGTGCCTCAGTATTTCTAGGTAGCCTAATTTCAAGCTAACTTTTGGCATTTTTGTCAAGATTAGAGAACCTGAAGTTTTCTTAGAAACAAGTCTCACCAGTCGAAAACAGCTAGAATGTACCACTACACTAGCTTCACGCATCTGTCTGTTTATCATCCTAGCACGAAAACAATACAAAACTAGAGAGAGATTATTCAATTGACTAACGTGCCTACCTTCAATTCCAAAGGAAACTTTGCTTTTGGCGGAACTGCTTTTTTGGGGACTTTAATACTCACACCAGGATATTCAGGGTGAATGAATAAGCCGCCATTAGGTGTGATGGTGTATATCGGAGAGGACTTAAGACGACAGACAACTGCATATGTTGAGCATTCAGTTATGCCAGCTTGAGCAACGGGAAAGAAAAAGTCTGGGGTGCCAATGTCAGAGAGGAAGTCATCTTCAATGTCTGTAAACAAGGTATATGAGTAACGAGCGAAATATAAATACGGGGGGGGGCACTCGGCATATGAAAGGGGTGGGGATGCTCGTCGGAAATTTTGAATTAACCCCTAAAGGAGACCGATCTGGGCGGTGCCCAAACTTTTTTTGACCCCTTAAAGGGACCATGTTAAAACACAGACATTATATATATTTTTATACTTTTTCGCGTGCAGCCTTAAACGAGACCTTCACGGCTAAATATGATGGCGTTTTTCCCAGAACACCCTAAGTGAGACCAAAATCCGAAATTTATACCCCTAAGTGAGACGACGAGCATCCCCACCCCTTTCATAAGGGGAGTCCCCCCGGGATAAATACAGTGCTAGTGTTTATCATTATCATTATCATTATCATCATTACTACTAAATCAATGATAAAAGCCTGACATGTCCTTTTCACAACTTAATGCGATCAGTGTCAAATGCAATGAATAGTTTCCTTTAAAATGTCTATGCAAATTTATCCTTACAGTTGTTTTCTTCGCCTAGTGTAGTGCAGCATTTATATGCTTATAAAAGGTAAACGCTTTTCGCAAACGTCCCCGTCTAAACATTATGAGCCACAGTTGACTCCCGATAACTCGAACCATCGCTAACTCGAACCTCGCGCTGACCAGAAGCAAAATTGATTTCCCCTGGGTTTTTGTCATACATTTACTCCAATTTTACCCTCGATAAAACATTGAATTTTGAATTTCCCATTGACTTGTTGTAGGCATATAGTTTACTAGTGGAGGCCGATGTTGTTTGTCACAAATCTAACACGAAACCGCTTTATTTCTCAAAACAGTAAAACGCATGCTCTATTAAGGCAATGTTTTGTTACGTTACGTTCTGATTTTTCTGAAGCTAGAAGTATCTTTCAATTTTCACTTAACATTCCTACATTATTAAATGTGATTAAAATGTTCACTGTGCAGTAAAAACCGTTTTTTTCCTTACTCCCAGTTACTTTGTTCGAGCTCCCGCTAACTCGAACTCCCGATAACTCGAACTTTTCTCGATTTCCCTTGAAGGTTCGATTTATCGGGAGTCGACTGCGTTATCGTTTTATCTGCCAGAAACAAATGACGTGTTGAGTGTTAGAGTACGACAGGTTCAACTGTTGGCAGCCTTTAACTAATTGTTACACGACCATTTTATTGAATAAAGATCACGTTCGAATCCGTGCCATATTAGTGGCACCTTTGGTGTGTGTCAAAGCAAATAATGAAGGTTAACACGACGAAGCCAAACACCAATTTTCATGGTTTTGACACGTAAAAATTAATCAGTTAATTTAGCTTATACAGAAAGACAAGTATTGGGACGATTGACTGTTTATATCCTGAGCAAACGGCTGACAAGTTGGAACTCAACAACCGGTTTCCCGGCGAAATGACGTCTGCGGAACGACTGCAGAAATTCCATACTGATGACGTGTCACTACCCGGATCCGGGTAGTGCTTCTGATTGGTTGAAGCAAACTCCCCTTGCGGCACGACCAATTAGAAGTACTTAGAAGTTCTACCCAAATCTGCGTAGTGACGCTTCATCAGTATGGAATTTCTGCAGTCGTTCCTCAGACGTCATTTCGCGGGGAAAGTGTCAGCTGTTTTTTTCAAGTTTGTATTCAAAGAGAAATTGTCTTAAAACCTTGCCAGCACCGCAAGTCCTCAGTTCCATCCACCTCTTCCCATTTATTGCTTTCCCAGTCGATCATCCTCTTTATCACCAGTTCGTAGCCCTGTAAACCAGGCGCACTGTGAGAGAGAACCAGCTTCGCTTCAGCATTGAATTCCAGTTCATCACCAGTGATGGTCGAAATGTCAAGAACATTGCTGACAACTGACTCGTGCTCTTTCAGTGGGGGCGAACGTGCACTGCATTTCCATCGGTGGATCACTATTGGTGTGGGCTCAGACACGGCGTTAGGAGGGAAGAAAATGTGAGCGCCCCCTCGTTTGAGTACCCAGTGGGTACCTCCACTGGTAAGCGTTCCTCTGCAATCAATCAATCAAACAATCATCGAACAATCCATAAATATGCGGACCTCCTTGTTTTTTTGCATGTAAATTTCCCCAAACACACAAACGGGTTAAAAGAAAACTGATGAGTGGTTTTCAGATGAATGTAAGATTCTTGCTTTCGGTTCGTCACCTTATTTAAGTGGAAATTTTCCTCATTTTTGCCAAACAGAGAATAAGGTCGTTTTGCCAAGTTGAGGTTAGATAGGCATTATCAGTCAGGCATGACCCTATTCCACAAAGCAGTAAGCATAGAGCAAAGACAATTCGCTTATCGTGTGTCGTTGACCTTTCAGCAACACGGAAACTGACGAGCTTGCTTGCTTAAGATGGTAAAACGTGAAGTCTTGCCACAGGAAGATGTATTGCTATGGGATTAGTGATTGTACCCTTATACTGTTCCTTACCTGTGTATACCCTCAAACAAAATCCTATTTCCCTGATAGACAACTCTAGTCTGCTACACAGCCGTTTTTAATCTCGTCAAGCAACGCTCCTTCCCAGGGGCGTTGCTTGACGACACTAAAAACGGCTGTGTAGCAGACTAAGACAGCTCTTGAGGCAAAATGAATCGCATGATTGGCCAGAGTGAAGGTTTCTCATTGTCATGGTGCTCTAACAATGGTCTTAGTAAAGAAACAGTAGTATACTTACTCGTGTATCTTAACGTTTTCTAACTCTGATTCATCCAAGTCCTCCATTTGTCCCTCTAGGCCAAATTTATCAGTTTGCTGTGGCAATTCGTGTTTTTCTGTAATCTCATCATCTCCAGTACTGTCCATGTTATTGTCATCGTCATCATCATCGTCATCATTGTCAAGAGACTTCTCTGTTAAATATAATGTTGAATAACCTGTTCATGTTGTCCTTCAGCGGCATGATTAAAAAAATATTGTTCAAATGAGGCCTTAAACTGTTGTTTAAAAAATAGAATTGGAATCTTGCCAAGCTTTCGCCGGTTGCTTTTTGTTTTAAAAATTAATAGTAATAATATCAATAATAATAATAATTAATAACAATAATGTTACCTGCTCCTGCGAATGGATTAAAAGGAAGCCGGAAAAACGATGCTTCCCGCTTTGATTTCAAGTCCTAAATGAAAAACAAGAACACTTTTCGTTAGAACACTTTCCTTTCATCTAGTTTGTTCTTTCTCAAATCAGAAATACGAGTCGACGAATGTGTTCAGTTCTTGCTTACCTGTAGCTGGGTGCGGTACTTTTTTGCCTTTCTTTCATATCCAAGTGATGTAGCCAGATTCTCTAGTATTGTGAGCAAGTCAATTTTTTCTTTTTTCTCTTCTAACTCTGAACCGTTCTTTTTCCACCTTCTCTCGTAGAATCTAAAGGATTCCTTTTGATATTTCTCAAAAAGGTCTTTATTCCTAACTTTCTCACACAAACGTAACAAAGTTTGTAAGACTTTTTCTCTCTGCTCGTAAGGTAATCTCTTGGTTTCTGGGGAATTCCACGCTCCTTTGTAAAACCAAAGAGCTTCGCTTCGATATTTTCTCCTTGTCTTGACATCAGCCTCTTCCCCAAGTCGCTCATTTATAGCATCGATGATCTTCATGTTCATCTGAGAGAACTGAAACCCTTCAAAACGTTTCTCCTCGTCCCATGATCTTTGATAAAACTCCAAGACTTCCTTCTNCACACAAACGTAACAAAGTTTGTAAGACTTTTTCTCTCTGCTCGTAAGGTAATCTCTTGGTTTCTGGGGAATTCCACGCTCCTTTGTAAAACCAAAGAGCTTCGCTTCGATATTTTCTCCTTGTCTTGACATCAGCCTCTTCCCCAAGTCGCTCATTTATAGCATCGATGATCTTCATGTTCATCTGAGAGAACTGAAACCCTTCAAAACGTTTCTCCTCGTCCCATGATCTTTGATAAAACTCCAAGACTTCCTTCTGAAATGCCTTCTTTCTCTCTTTGAGAAGCATTCCCTCGTATCCATTGATGATTCTGTCCCGTACATTACTGTGGTTCCCTTGCCCCAGGGATTTCTCAATCTCCCATGCTTCTTCGTAATATTTTTCAGCTACATTATAATCGTTAAGACAAAGAGAAATTTCTGCCATTTGAAAAGTGCTACGCACAGTTAATGGATGTTTGCCAAGGATATCTTTCCGAATCTGATACCCGTTATAAGCAAATGTTTTTGCCTCCTCAAACTCCATGAGCCATGAGTGAGCGTTAGCAATGTTTCTGTTATAAAGTGCTGTGTATAGAATCCCAGTGAGTTTGAGTTCTTTGGCAAGATCTAAAGCCTCCTGATAGTATTCTATAGCCTTTCGAAAATTCATTTTGGCCTCGGGCGTCATTCTGTGTTTGCTATACTCTTGAATGGCCATAGATTCATAAGCTGTCCCAATTTGACTTCTAAAAAGAGGCAAGTCAAAGTGCTTCCTTGAACCAGAAAGCTTTTGACGCATTTCGTACGCTCTTGTGTAAAACTTGATCGCTTCCTTCGGTTTTCCCAGTTTGCTGTAGCAATTTCCAATGGCATTCAAACATCTACAAGTGCTTGTGTGATTTTTCAATTGGTCTTCGATTATTTCCAGGGAACGCCTCAAACTTTTAAGTGCTTTTGGCCAATTTCCTGCTCTGTTGAAGACTTCGCCTTCAACTAATAAACAAGAGCTTTTCGCGAGCTTGAAAAGCTCGGTCTTTTTGCTATCTCTCTGCACCCTCTTCAGCAACTTCCTCGACTCTTGAACAACTTCCGCAGCCCTATGCCACCCTTCAAGTGTGAGTACCTGCAAAGCTTCCCAGCATTGCAATTCCGCTCGAAATATACTGCCTATGGAGAAAATTGAGGAGCAGAACAATCAAAACACTTTTATCTGGACCAAGAAACCAAATAGGGGTACTTTTGTCTGGACCTGACTTGGACACTAAGGAGAACATACGAAGTATGTACCGTTGTTCCAACATCTTCAGTTCTCTTAAGAGGGGCAGATCATATATACAAGATTTGGTGTTACTTGAAATTTAACGGAAGGGTTTGTATTAGTAAGAATCCACTAGGAGTGGCGTAGTATTGCCAAACCCTAAAGCTCTCGTACATCAGTTAACACTGCCAAACATTGCCCGGCTTGGGACGGTTAGGAAGAAGTTCGACTCTCTCTCCCTCTATCAAAAACAGACACCTAGGGTTGGCCCTTGCCTTTCTTTACCCCTTTTAGCTGACAATCTATGATATAAAACGAACACATTACACGGGTTGGAAAGGTGTCTCGCGTCTTGGAGAGAGTTGACTGTAAGACTCTAAACTCCGGGTCGACATGGCCAAGTTTTATGGTGTGCACTATATTCGGAAAAACTAGCTCACCATTGCTCACACTTGGGAAAATCAATTCATATGTCTGCTGTTATATTTCACGAGCTTGTTCATCTGTTGAGCCGGTGCTTTTGGTAATAGTTTGTTCTTAAATTGGAAACTGCTCGCGATAGCATACTGAACAAAGAAAAATAGTATCTCCTTACCTTCCTTTCCATCTTCCTCTATCTTTTCAGCCCAGGTGTGAAAAATCTTTCTTCTTCGCCTCTCATCACTTATCATGGCTTCAAATAAATAACAAACCAAGACACTTTCTCGGTGTTTTTGGGAAATTAGAAGGTAGTTGGACTTCATAGAAATGTCTAGAGCAAGTTCAAAGTTGGGTTTCTGGAAATCAAAGCTGTCAAAAGCTTTTACGTAGTCTTTGTCCAAAAGGGCTTTTGCTTTTTGGTAAGCTTCCTCGAAAGCCTTGCTATTGCCAATGCTTTTAAGAAACTTTCGCATCAAGGGATGTATGTCATACAGCAGTTCTTTTGACTCTGGAACAAGGAAGACCACTTGACTGTTACGCATTCCTTCCATTCTTATTGCAGCTTCCGAAACGTTTACTCCAAGTACCTCAGCTGCTGCTTCCAATGAAAATGGGCGGCAGAAGAGTGACACCGAAACGGCAGACTCTTTAAGTGTTTTACTTGGAAGGAAAAAGAACATTTTCCTCAAACATGACAACTGTTTCTTATCGATACCTTCGTCGTTAACATCAAACATGTCCTCCTTTTCAGTTTGTTCTTCCCCAGTGTCTTGGGACTGTTCCACCGCTAACTCCTGCTCAATGGTTCCAAGGAGTCTTTCTGCATCAGTTTCCTGCCTTAAAATTGATGCCATGCCATTGAGCAGTAGTGGCTTCCCTCTGCACATCTCAACTAATCGCTCTCTCTGGCCCCCTTGAATAGCAGGTGTCCCTTGCCTTTGAAGGAGCTCCCACGAAGAGACCCTTTCCAAACCTCTCACTTCGTAATTTTCCACACCGTGACGAAATGCACTTCTAGATGTCAACAGAATCTTCAATGACGATTTCTCTCGCCCAGTTTTGTCACTGGTAAGTCGTTGGAGAAATGACACAAAATTAGTATTCCGTCTAACGGCAGCCTCATCTTTTCCACCTGAAAATTGATCAACGTTATCGAAAAGCAGCAAAATGTTCCCTTGTGCCCGTTGCCTCAGCTGCATCATTTTCAAAATAACAGGATTTGCTTCATAGCTCACTGTTGTCTCCTCCGATTCGGTTGAAAGCACTTGTAAAAGGTGGAAGTGAACGTCTTCCATTTCGTCTATTTCTCTCAAGTCCACGTTAAATTTATTCGTTTGCGTTCCTTGCCACTTATATAGCACTTCATTTGCAAGTCTTGTCTTCCCGACACCACTGGCTCCGTAGAGATTTACGACACTTGATCCACCAGTTGTTAACTTCGACATAACATTTTTTAAGTCGCTGTGTCTTCCCGTTAATTCCCTTGATGTCGCTGCCTTTGACTCTTTAACCTCTTGCAAGCGGATTGCCTTAAAAGCTTCAATCTTTTCCTTGATTTCCTCCTTCTTAGATGTTTGTGGGGTGACTACAAATTTCTCCAACAAAGTCAAATTGTCCTCCGACACAAGACCCTGATTTGCAAAAAGATGCAGGCACGAATATAAATCCTGATCTCCTTTATCCCCGAACTTTCCAATCTCAAAATTCGTTTTGATAGACGATACAGCATATTCAAGCTCTTCTGGGCTCAGATGATCGACGACATCTTTTAAAAATTTATCAAATCGAGGAGAAATCTCTCCCGTCCTCAACGGTTCTTCAAGCGACGCCATCGTGCGCTCAACGAACCGAAAGTGAGGTGAATAAATTTATCCTCGTGGCCAGATGTCAGGCGGAAGTGTATGTATGATAATTATAAGCAGACAACAACTGATATTATTGAATTCTTTTGCATGATTGACATTCATATTTATAACTTATGTCACGCATTCAAACTATGAATGTCAATCGTGCAAAAGAGTACGAAATTTTATTTTGTTGCAAACGTTATGTATAATAGCTAAAAATGCAACAATATAAAATAACAAGTTAGTTATTTAAAATAGTCTCGCACAAACTGTGCTTACGACAGGTACACTGAACGTCACGGTAATGCATCTCATAAACAGCATAATTGCGTGTTGTGTGGCACTTAATCGATGGTGTCGTGATGTACGCTTTAACAATAGAAGGAACTACATGTTTTTACAAGTGATCGTCCCTTTTTATGATCATAATTGCAAAAAATTTCATTTCCATTCTGTTTACCTTGTTTTATCTAATCTCAAGTAAGAAACTAATAAATAGTAAATACTATCTGTCTACCTCTTCATATCAGTTGTCGTACGAGTATGAGTGGAGGAGAGCAGGGAAGTAGGAGACCAGGCCCCGGTTGTTCATACGTTGGATATTGCTATCCACCGGATAACTGAATTACTATTCAGCGGATAAGTATCAAGAAAACCAATTACGCTCTCCGCTGGATAGTAATTTATCCGGGGCCCAGGAGAACAGGGGAGGGAGGGGTACGGGAGGGGGAGAGGAAAGAGCGGGAGGTGGGAGTTCTAAAAGGGTGGGAAGTGGGAGAAACGGGGAGAATTGAAGTTACGTAACAAGGCTTAAAATATAGTAATCGAAAAAGGGAGACAGCCAAGAAAAAGGGGGGCGGGAGCAGGGACTGCAAAGTAAGAGAGGAGGGAGGGTTGGAACTCAGCCTTTCAGTGTTTGTAATATTTAATTTGTAGTTTGTAATTTTCTAACTTGTAAATTATTCACATATATTTGGATGTTTTTCAAGAAGCTGTGATTTTGTCCCCTATAAGGAGTAATTTCTTTACGACTGTTTTATACCTAGTAATTGACGAGAGTATGAAAACAGAATGGACTATAAATCGACCTGACATAGCTCCCTCAACTTACCCTCAATATTAGCTTGTTCCATAAACAGGCACCGAGATAGCTGGGTCTGCTGAATCGAGAAAGCGCAAACACGAAAATACAACGGGAGGAATCTGGGGAGAGCACTATCTAAGAGGCTGGAGCAGGCTATGGTAATATTTGAAGACGAATTATTCGTTGAATTGTCTACAACCAGCTCTATGATTGACGCTTTCTGTTTGCCGTGCTGCCGTGGTGCCTCTTGCACATAGTGCCATGCACCGGGTCATCAGCGGAACAGAAAAAGTCAGAAAATAGCATTTCTGTTTGCAAACCTTTGTTGCTTTCATTAACATCAACGATCGTATTCAGTATAATTAATAAAATGTTACTTGACTGTTAACTTTTCATTTCTCAATTAACTACTAATTTTTTGGCCAATTATCAGTCAACTACTGTTTTTTGGCCAAATATCAGTTAACTGCTAACCCCATTGGCACCCTCTTGTTACCCTGACAACTTTGTAAATCTTTAACACACTTCTTCTCTGTGAGACTGCCCTCACACGAAAGCTTTTGTTCATCTGTGAGGCGAGGGATGTTTAAACTATTCAAAAAAATTTCTGTTGCTTGCTTGTTACCCAAATTCTTACTCTTGTATAATTCTTGATAGAAACGTTTTTCCTCAGAAAGAATTTCGAACGGATCAGTAGTGATCGAACCATTAATTTTCAATTTTCGCACATGCTTCTTGACGTGGTTCCTTTTCTCCTGATTGTTTAGAGATTTAGAAAATATTTCGTACTTTTTTCACCGTGTTCACACCATCGCACCCACGCACGAATGATGATACCTTGAAGCTTTTCTTTATAAAAATGTTCCAGTTTTTCTTTCGCCGTATTAAAATCGCTCGCATTTTTATTGGTAGGGTCACATTGGAACGTTTGCTTGGCATTGTTAAATTCATCTTGCAGTATGTTCTCCTTATCTTTTTTTCTTTGAGTTACGTTTTGAAAACTGTACTGCATGTGCTCTAAGATATACTTAATCCAATCCCAAATACATCTGCATATGATCCGGCAGGTCACATCTGCCCTTGGCCAGCCTGACAGGCATTTTAGCCGTAACCTTCCTTTGGTAGTTATCATCATCTAGAGGAAAACAGTTATTTCCCAGTAACCCGGACCTTTAACGTGGTTTTGACTAATATTAAAATCCAAGGAAATGGCTGCATGGTGGGTTTTAATGGATGGAATAATATTCGTTACTGAAACCGAATCTTGAAGGTTATTTAAAATCAGCCAGTAGTCTAAGCGGCATAAAATCATTGGCGAGTTTTTGCTCCTCGTGAAACTTCTTAAAGAAGGATTTTTAATTCTCAAATGTCAACCAAATCAAGTTCGTCTCGTAAACAATCAATGGTTTCAATAACTGATCTCCTCGGTAACACTAGGGCCATTTATACGAGGAAAAATAAGACGCGCCTTACGTAAGACGCGACGAGCATGTCTTATCTAATAAGACGCGTCTTAGCTAAGCCGCGTCTTATTTTAGACGAAATGTGCCGTTTATACGGAAATTTCGCGTCTTATTTAAGACGCGTCTTATGTAAGACGCGTCTTATTTTTCCTCGTATAAATGGCCCTATTTTACCACCTTTTTTATCTAGGGCTGGATTCAGCGAACAATTTATTTTTCCCCCTATAATTATATTTTCTTCGTCTTCCAGATTTTCATTTTGGAGTATCGTTCTCGGATAGTTAAGAAAGTGTGTAATGTCTTTATCATTATTCGGTGCATAGATGTTAATCAGCACATTCAACTTGTCCTCGATCTCCGCCTTCAGGATCAAATAGCTCCCCAGTGGGTCCTCGAATTTTGACAAAATAGTGCAATCAAACCCTTTTTTGAAAAATATCGCAACTCCGAACGAATTTGGACTTCTGTGTGACATAATCATAGCACCTCCACATTGATTTTTCCATTGTCTTTCAGAGTCTTTCTTTGAATGAGTTTCCTGCAGAAAAGATTAGGTCGGCCTTTTGTTTTCGACACCACGTAAAGATCGTTCGCCTTTTACGAAAGTTGTTTATGCCCGTTACATTCAGTGAGATCAATTTACAAGTGTCCAATACCATCTCGATGTAATGAGCAAAAAAATGGTGGGATTGAAGAAGCTAATCAGAAGAAGGAATGATGTGATGTAAAAAGAGAAGAATGAAACCTGTACATTTTAAAAAGAGGTGTGAGCCTTGGGGCTGAATGCCTAAAGGAAAAGACAAAGGACCTGCAAATTACAGTATCCACTCGGGAGTTCCATGTCAAAAGAACCGCATATCATATATAAGTTGATTAACATACTAAACAAAATGCCGAAAGATCGATAAACAAAAACAACAGCAAAAAAAGAAATTACGAATAACCAACCACCCAAACCAGCTTAACACTGGAACAAAAAGAGACAGCTAGGAGGGAAGAAAAAAACACGAAAAACCCTTACCCATGCTCCAAAAGTGAAAAACAATCGGGCCTTTACAGAAGAAAAAAACTACCTTTCGTAAACTTTCAATCTCACTAGCTCGGATTTACTAAAATACGCACGTTTACCCACTTTCCTGGCTTTTTTCAATTTGTCCATTTGCATTTTCCTTAGTTCGTGTAACTCGTTTGGAATATCTTCAAACATCTTGAAGTTTGTGTCTTTCAGCTTCCGACCACACTTGAACACTTGTTCCCTGTCCGAATACCTCAAAAAGCGGGTTATAATTGTACGGCTACCATTTCCACTTGACTCCTAGGTTTTCTCATTCTATGTACACGTTGGAATTCGATGCCTATCGCGTCCTCTACGCCAAGGGCGATAGAGTGACAACAAATCCCTGTTTCCCAGCGGTTTAAATTGATCTCCGTAAATCCTCTTCAAATATTGCACGACATCTTTTGATTCGGCTGGGGAAAACTTCAAAGATTTGTCCCTTAACAATAGGACAATTGCACGATGACGATATTTGACTACAACTACCATAATTCATTTCGGTTTTGCTTTGTTATTTAAATTTGTCAATGCCGCTGAGGATTAAAGAACAATAGCCTTGATTTGCAAAAGAAAAAACAACAAACTCAAGGATTCTGGTAGTTGTAGTAAAATGACGTAATAGTGCAATTGTCCTATTGATTTATGTCAGCTAAGCTTTCCAACGCGTCATCAGTATGGAATTTCTGCGCTTGTTTCTCAGACGTCATTTGGCGGGGAAACCAGTGGTGGCGTCGCCAAATGTCGGTTGTTTTCTCAGGCTTTTTGCCTGTTAACTGAACTAATCGATCATAAGAGAATAGAACACTACTGAGGGGCCAAACCACGAAATGCCTGAAACAGCGAACAACAGTACTGACGTCACTAACATGACACTTTGAAATTATATAGCACCGATAAGGAACCAGAATGTAATGGTGTAGTCCAGACCCAAGATGGTTTATTTACACTGAATGCAAAAAAATTATTTATAAAATATGGATGCAACCATTCACGGTAGGAACTCTGGTCTAATATAACCTTAAAGATATTATAAAAAATAAAGATATTATTCAACCAACAGAAGGTGAAGGCTAGGACAGCAAATCCCCCTTATATCCTATTCTATACACAATCCCTCTGAGGGTCAGCTCTCTCTTGGTTCGGGTTAGAGAGTTTAAGCGCCAAATTTGTGAGAAATTCAAACTAAGATCTTTAAGCTTCAATGCTGTAACTCTGAAATTTCAACAGTGGACTAGAGGGCACACTTTTTCAAAAAATCATGTGTTAAGTTTTTCATATCTTGACACTATTGCCGGGAAAATGACGTCGGAAATTTGGCACCAGAACTTGGTTTTATATCATAATGGGACACCTTACGACGTCAACTGAAAGATACGGCTTTAAAAGGCCTCCAAACTATAACGAAATGAAACATGTCCATCCACTCAAAAGATATAACATTGCAAAAATGTGACATTCACACCACTTTGTTGCAAAAATAACTTTAATAGGAGGGACAGCCTAGCAAACAAGGCCTAAAAGGAATTTGCTTTGCTTAGCCTTTTAAAGGCTTCGAAAGTTATTTTAAAGAAAACGACGTGAAAGGATACACTTGGTAAGATAAGAGGTATCACTGATCTATTATTTTGAATTCTTTCTTTGCGTATATTTTCGAAGTAATTTTACGCAAAAAATAAATACATATATATACCTGACTGGATTTGATACAAGGTGCCTCTGCTAGTAGCATTATGAATATGAGTCGAGGAGGGAAAATTCCTCGACTTTGCACTGCTTTCTGACTGGAAACTCTAGTTAAAGTGACAAAATCTCCCCTCCCTACCCCCTACTTTTGACACAAAAAAGCCGGCTAACCACCCACAGTTAGGTATGGGTCTGGGCTCTTTGCTGACGCCTAGCAAGACGTCAAGCCCCCTGGGTTTTTTTTTCGGCTACACGGGCTTGAACACTGGCGATGCCCATGTTTAACACCCCCTTTACACGCGCTAAAAACTCGGCACGGCACGCCAAATTTTGGCGCCGTGCTGACGATTTTAAGGCACGGCACTCCCAATTTTCGACGTGTAAAGGTATTGGTCCAAATGTAATGTGGCACCAGCGCTCAAAATTTTAGGGGTGCCGAGACTACCTCCCGGAGGTAGTCTCGGCACGGGTAAACGAAGCACGGTGCCAAAAATTTGGCGTGCCGTACCGATTTTTTTAGCGCGTGTAAATGGGGTTTAAGTTAAAATAACTTAGCGGGCACCTTTTAGCAAAATCACACAGATACATATTTTTCGAAATAGACGGCGAAACACGGATCAGCTAAACATTACAAAGGTTAACTAAGGATTTGAGTAGAGGACTAAAACGATTAGAGAGAGAATTTACAAGAGGGGCCTTAAAAACAACAAGATTTAACCACAGTCATGGCCAAGCCCACCACGATAGAGGAAAAATTCAAGACTCGTACTTATCTTTCAAAAGGATAAGACAACGAAGAACAGAGACGTAAAAGGCAAACTGTCATTTGTTCAGCCGTTTCGGTACACCCGTTTCGAACGGCCGTGTGTTTCATCCGTTGAACAGCAACGCGTTCGTGTAGGTTTTAGCGAGAAGGTTCATAGTTATCAACAAGTAACAACCTTGAGTGTCTCCTCGGAGCTTTTTGGAGAATTTCTCGCATTTTATTTACAAGCATCTTACACTGTTTCTCCCAATTGTACTCTTTGTCATAGGCCTCTCGGAGATAGCATGCTTCCTCTAGCCGGAGTTTCCTTGGTTTCTGTCTCACACGTCTGATAGCTTTACCCCACTCTTCAGGATCATCGGAACACACCACACTCGAAGATTCGATTTCTAATTTACGAATAGCTTGACCGAACCCCGAATTGTTACTTACCAAAATAGGAAGGCCAGCGGAGAGTGCTTCGAGACCGGTGAGGCCAAAGCCTTCCGTTCGTGAGGGCATAATGGCGAGATCTACCTGGCACAAGAGCTGTTTTACTTCTTCACGACTCTCAACAAAGCCTCGCACAATAAGCTGTGTGCGAGGAATTCCACACTTAAGTAACTTATTTTTAACTTCTTCTTCTTTACCCTTTGGTGCCCCGACAAACAAAAGAAGGACGCTTTCGTCTTTCAAGCCTGCTACAGCTTTAGCAGCTATATCGTATCCCTTTAGTTCAAAATCTTCCGAGTCACCCCGACCAAACACTAAGATGCGGAACCTTCCTCCCTCCTCACTGGCTTGTTCCATCTTTGCGAACTCCTGAAAGATTCCAGGTGTGATACCTATCACGCATTTATCTTTTCGATACCGTAGCTTGGCGGAGATATCTTCCTTCAACTTTGGTCCTATGGCCACGACGATATCAGCTTCCTCACAAAGGTCTACCTCAGCGCGGCGCTTTTTTTCGCCTTGCTGTATCGCTGTTTCGCTTACCTTAAACATTGCAAGCTCGTCACTGGAAGTGTGTACTACATGAACCCGTTTGCACCTGCGCTGTTTTGCTATGACATGGGCTGATGGACCAAGCATATGACCATGGCCTATCACAATGTCAAGATCTTCAGCCTCTGCCTCTGGTGTGGCAAGACGCACATTAAAGTTGTTGGCTTCTTGCTTCTCCTCCTCAGAATAATGTGGCAGTAAAAGGGTTACTACTACGTCAGGCAGAAGTGCCAGGTGTTTTGAAAGTTCTCTGTTCAGCGTAGACAAGCCGCCTTTTGATGAGCCCCATTCGTCTCCACATGTAGTTATTCTTAAAGGATTTGTCGTGAAATAACTTATAGCTCCGTAATTTGTGTGTTCCTACAGAAACAGAAAGGAATAAAAACATAAAGATTTTAAACACTCACCAAAGAAGCAGCCACGATTTGTATCATTAGCGATTTATTTGCTGGGATATAACGAAACGAAGACAATCGACTGCCACGTAAGCTAACAATGGTAAACATTCGTTATATTTAATCCAAATGTTTCACAGTGATAACCGTAATTTTACGAGGCGAGACCTATCTCCAAAAAATAATAATAATAATAATAATAATAATAATAATAATAGTAATAATAATAATAATAAAAACGACAACACTTATCGAGGAAGCCCATACCGACTTTTCAGTCAAACACATCGTTTAAGAAATATTGTTCGTGTCTTAAGGTTACCAGATACCTTCAAGGGTGTCTCACGTGTTAGCGATGTAGCGCGTTCCGGTTAAACTGCAGATACCTATAACCCGATATCAAATTAACTCTTATTGAACTGGTTATCTTATCTTATCTTTTTTTTTTTTAGTGTCCCGAATCAGCTTTTGGAAGCTAATTTCGGAAGTCAAAGGGCTAAAAATCGTGTCAGGGTTTTCCCATTTTTGATTACGATGAAAAGTTTCCGATCAATTTCGAAATAGGGCTAAAGAAAGTTAGTTGATCATACAAAAATGCGTCTCAACACGTTTTTGTTTTTGTTGCTAAAAAAAATTAAAGCAACATCCCTTGAATTCTTGGTCAATCGAACAAACTCCCTCCGAGTTTTAGCCCCTCAAAGTGTTCTCCCTGAGTGAAAACTTAAGTCAAGAAAACCGCGATTTAAAAAATCCCTCGCTTCGTAAACAAACTCCGTTTACAAACACTACTAAGGAATCTGGGCTAATCAGCCCAAAATACTTGAGTCTGATTGGTTCGTAACAGCCCATATTTATGGCTTAATTTTGCTATTGTAACTCCAAAACTGTCCGATTACAAGCTCCTGGTAATCGGTCAGGTCAAATCGGACAGTTAAAGAACCACTGACAATCAAGTAATAAAAGCCACTAGCCAAAGAAATTTAACTACATAGCACCTAATAACCAATCAAAATCAATGAAAAAATAGTGACCAAGCTGTCCAGCTTCAACTGGAAAAGAAAACTGGTACAGTGACTTTTATTTACATTAATAAATATTCACGACTGAGATTCTCGCATTTTGTTATTGACACAATTAACCGGTAATAGGACTTCGTGTCGTACAATTCAGGGATAATCGGGCTCGTAATTTCAAACGCCGAGCGCGTTGAAATTACTCGACCGATTTTAAACGTCCGATTACTCCCTGAATTGTACTCCACTCAGTCCTATTACCATTACAAAGCATATACAGTAGGTTATGTAATAGTGCACACTAACCGGGACTCTATAAATCTCTGGATTACGACTCGATTATTCTTATCGAACCAGTTGTCTTAATTACAAGCCTTGCAATAGTTATGTGCGCTAACACAAGTCAACATCTAAGCTGTCCCGAAGAACCTTCCTTTAGAAGTATGCTTGACGGAAATATTTCGACCTTTGACCTTACTTAGGTCGATTCTTCAAACCAAAACTAGAGCTATCACCTTGGTTTGGCTTTACAAATGAGTACAAAGTAGGAAAGAAGAATCAACTATTCTCACTAGGGAAAACACCCACCAAAGCCTAAGTTAGCATCAATGCACTTCCTAAAATTCTCAGCGTAGCCCAGGGGAATACACGGCATACCCACAGACCTTGTCCCTCAGTTTTAAGAGCAGCCTGCTTGATTACTCGGCCAGTTCTAGTAAAGTTTAGGTCTCAGCACCCTCGATAGCAGTTCTCGCCCCACCCTCTTCCCCGCAGCGATGGGGTATACCTCGTATTCTCTCCTGGTTCATCGACTCGCAAAGCCTCGGGCCGATTCTCCCACATCTTATGCATTTGGGCTCATTTGGCTTTGTGTGCGGATGTTCCGGGTGAGAATATATTACTAAGCACAATCTTAAGTTTGTCTAGAAGTAAAAGACACACCAAAATAGCTTAAATTTCACTTAACAAAAGTTACACCGTCTAAATGCTGCATCACGAATGCATTGATTGACAGCAGTATGATTTTTCAGAATTAATATCTATAGTTAATTATTGCAGTGATAATGAAATAATTGTACTTACGTAAGGTTCACTTAGTGAAGGAGGGAGAGGAAGTGCCAATTCACACAACAATTCATTTTCGTTTTCCTTGATGCCTCTGCGAAGCTCAGCTGTCTTTAGGTCCCTGGGGTTTATCATCACCACATCAACCTTGACATAAGCGCCATCGCGAAAGCTGCAAAAACAATAAAAAAAGAACATTGAAAAGCAAAATTGTCTGACCAGTTCACATGAAAACCAAGACAGCTTTTCTTAGTCCTAAGATGGAAATTGAAACAGGATTAGGGACCTCTCTCGGGGGAATCTGACCTGCACCACTGGAAAGGAGAGGGGGTTTCTCCACCTTAACAGGCTAGACTAGTGATGAGCTTAGTGATCAAGTTCAAGTTCAAGTTCAGTTTATCCGCACTTAATCAAAAAAAGAGTACATAAATACAACAATGATAGGAACTAGAAAAGAAGGAAATCAGAGCTAGTATTCATGTTACGATAAGTATTGCATTGGAAAAGTATGTAGTGGCCAAAGGAGCAAACCTTTTGGGTTGGCCACTACCACGGTGCAGTTACTAATGGGAGGCGGTTTCATTTGCAAAACGCAGACTGGCCACAAAAACATGACCAACCGCCATTATGCTAATTATACCTTCACCTGTTGATGGAGTACTTCATTCCTAACCCCATTACCACACATTCTCGTTCTGTTGTTTCTCACAGGTCGGGAGCATTAACTACCTTAAGGAAAACCTCTACTTAGGGATGCAGTTTACAATAAATGGGGGTATTACCTCCTAATTCCAACACCTTAGACCCCTTCTATGACGAACATCATTATCAGATTCTTTGAAAAGTTAATAATCAAGCAGCTGAGGGTGTTTCAATTATAACTGGGTTTTGTCGGAGCCGTGAGTAGCTGTTGTGGGCCTCTACGTTTTGACAGGGTTGATCCATTTCTTTTTAACCACCAATAGGCGAATCTTTGGCCTCATGATTTTTTGCCTCATTAACATATACTCATCATTATCTGATGAAGCTAATAAAATAAAACCTCTCAATATTGAAAGATTATAACAACTTCAGTTATCTCTGAAAATTTGAGCCCGATGTCCCACCTAGTTTCGGAGAAATTCTCTTTTAAAAACGCGAAATTTTACAAAGAATGTATGGCTCATTAACTTTTCTGCCACCCAGCAATTTCGCAGTTTTCGATTGCTGATATTTCCTTCAATATTGCTTGTAAAGAGCTGAAAATTGCACAAATTACTCAAGTTAATCAACTTTTGAATTCAGTATATACGGCCACGATATGTATGAGTTAAGTCGCACGCTAATGAGGAAAAATGTAAACAATTATGTCAGCAAGGATTCACCTATTGATTGGATGATGATCCTTCAATGTTAGGTGATGCTGGACCAACATGTTGGATCAGTCCCTTTAAACGGACCCCCGTCCCCCCATTAGTCACAAAGTGAATATTTAATTCTTACCAGACATGTATTTCATGTTTTACAGGCTTCACCACATCTTCCGAAAGGAATACTCCTGTCTTGTCGTTGGGATACGTCCATTCTGAGGAACTTCCATCTCCAAGCCAGAACCCTTTCCTTCTTGCATTGCAAGAAAACGCTTCACGTATGAGCCAGACCGCTGGGTTAGCGCACCATTCCAACCAGCACCAAAACCTGCTTCCAAACAATGGCAAATTATGTGCTGGGAGATGAATGGGGTAACAGGATGAACGGATCAAGCTTTTAAGCTTAACTGCGTGCCAGGTTTCGAAAGGGAAGAGGAAGGGGATCAGAAGAGGCAGATTGCGCGCTACTCAAGAAGATCTCCAGCGCGCATGCCAGGCCACCCTTTGTATCCTTCCCTCCCCAAAATTCAGAGTTCCTAGCAGCCAACTCCCTAAAGTCAATACCCAGCGTTTTAAAATAGTTTTATTAATAGCCTTTTTTAAAATATAAAGTAACAATTTACTAAATGTTAAATGGTTTTTAATGTTGATTTTAATAGTCTATACGGAAGTTTAAGCTTTTTAACTCTTTTAGCTGTTTGGTTGCTTTTAACTGTAAGTGTTCTGGGTTTTTAGCATGTATTTTTACTTAAAACATAATAAAGACCTGTTGACATTATTATTATTATTATTATTATTATTATTATTATTATTATTATTATTATTATTATTATTATTATTATTATTATTATTATTATTATTATTATTTTATTGTAGCCACGGGAGATTGCGAATTTTTTATTATTCTTTATTTCGTGTTTTGCGTTGCGTGAAGTTAGTCTAATTAGTACTTTTTTTATCGCGTTTGGTGTAGTTTTTTGTTAGCCTTTTTTCGTATGCGTATTTTTTCTGTAAGTCTATTCTCGGCTAACCCATTGTTTTCAGTTCAGTTTAGTATAAAGTTTTTCCTTTTGTCCATGTAAATCAGTCGCTTAGTTGTATCCGGAGTTGCCGTACAGATCTTGTAAGTATAGTTTTTCCTGTATTTTTTTGCTCGTTTTCTTGGTCATTTGTTGTACTTTAAGTTATCGTTTTTGGAAAGTTTTCGGTTCGCGTTTATTAATTCTGTATTTTTCTTCTTTTCTTTTGCTGTAATTTTGTTCTAGTGAATCGTAAAGTAAAAAGACGAATTCGAAACTGTACATGAGTGTTTATTACAATTACTATCATTATTATTATTATTATCATTATTATTATTATCATTATATTATTATATATTATTATTATTATACATTATTATTGCTATTATATATTATTATTAAGTGAATTAATTGTAAATAGGATTTTAATAGTATGTTATCAATAAAATATGTTCGATACATTTCAATTTCAAAAAATTATTATTATTATTATTATTATTATTATTATTATTATTATTATTATTATTATTATTATTTCGGAGGGCGTCCCCCTTCTTCCGTCTCCCTTGCATGTGCCCGCATTCCCTTTCCCATCGCTTTCGAACGCCTGCCACGCAGGCTCAAGTTTAACTGCAATCACAAGTAAGAAATAGTAATGACTGGAAGGAACAAAATCAGCGGAGCTTTGTGTCTAATCTATGGAAGTTCAAAACATTAAATACTAATTTAATCACTGGGGAAACGAACTTCAACGTTTTACTGCTTAATTCGAGCAATATAGCAACTCAACATAAAAGAGCGTGCACTTTTGGGAAGATGTTTGCGGAATTTGTTTCCTTTCTAAGTAAGGCTATGGCCACGTGAATTCCTTTACGTTTGCAACACACATTCTGAACTACACGTTTTCGGATGTCCACACGAGAAGGATATAAACACTGTAAAGATGAGTGGACGGAATCAGTGAACGCGCGCGCAGAGTTGGAGTGAGCATGGCCCAAGCAGCATCATGCAAATAATTTCCTAATATGACAATCTGAGTACATGGTCATATTACAACACATTGGATAACAGTTACAAAAGTTACATACCCAGAGAGGCGCATGACGCTGAACTCGATCGCCATTGTACTTTTATCAAAACTTTCAGGCATGATAAGGCCGTCGTTGATGTCAATCCATTTCTCGTGATCTGATTCATCTGAAGCTAACTCGAAAAACCAGATGCGAACGCAGCACGACGGCATGTCAGGAACTTCACAACTTTCCTCCGTGAGTAGCAATGGTAGCCGTATGGTTACAGGTTTTTTAAACTGCAATGAGTCATGATCAGAGCCTGTAATTCTGAGTATGGGGCTTGCCGAAATCTCCTTCCCTCTAAATGTTCTGTGAGGAATTTCTTGTAACTATTTGCAGAAAAAAAGCACATTAGAAGGTTCTGTCATTTCGAACAATACCTTTACTTTGAATTTTTTCTTTTTGATAACGAGGAGATGATCAGCAACATTGATTCAATAACTTTTACACTAACATCTGATCACCTCCAAGTGCAAGTTATCTGTACCAAGTTATCTGTTCAAGAGCCATGTGGCTCTTGTTTCTGTTACGTTGTTATCCAATAGCAACGCGTACTTAGTAACCACTGAAACAGAAAAAAAAAAAAAACGCGCCACGGAAAGGGAAAGTAACAGATACCAAAAGTTAATTCAATAACTTTTACCCTAACACCTGTTCACCTCAAAGTGCAAGTTATCTTTACCAAGTTATTTGTTCAAGAGCCATGGGGCTTTTTTTTTTGTTACGTTGTTATCCAAAAGCAACGCGTACTTAGTAACCACTGAAAAAGAAAAAAAAAAAAAAAACGCGCCACGGAAAGGGAAAGTAACAGATACCAAAAGTTACTGTTGATGTACATAGATTTCAAGTTTCTGTGAGATCGCTCGAGTGCTTTTAATGGTACTTTAAAAAGTGAAGAAATACGAATAATCTTTTAACTGTTCGTTACAAGGACCGTCGGCCTTCTAAGTGCACCTGTACCAGAGGAATGGTCTTAGAAATTTTTATAATTATTGAGCCATGACAAATTTCACTCAACACAGATTCTCAAGGATTTAGTAATTACTTGCCCTTCAAACTGCACATGAAACAACAATTTACTCACAAACTAACAAAACAGATCATGACGAAAAATTTCCTTCAGGTGCGCGAATGTTTTCTGCCCGCGTAACTGCAATGCTGGATTCTAAAAAAAGAGTCGAGGAGTTGGGGTGACTCAAGGAGGCCTCCTTGTTTCACCCCAATGCCTACCCCAAGAGTTTTAATTTCTACTCTCCCCAATCTTCCTCAGTAAGAAAATCGAAGATGGCGGCCACGGTTATTAACATGAACAAGTAACTTAGGGCGCTTTCCAAAAGTCAGAACTGACCGGCCGAACTAAGCTGGACAGGTCATTTTGACAATGAAATAGGCTTTTTTCCAACAGTTTTTGATAAAAAACAATCACCATCGTACATGCTATTTAGGATTTCACTGATCTGGTTGGATAGTTTTGATTAAAAGTGACATTCTCATTATGACCGGAATGGTCTGGCCAGTCAATTCTGACGAACGGAAAGCGCCCTTAAAGTCACACAAGGAAATACGACTGCATTGCAGACTAAGATAATTTCCAGCATTGCCGAAACCTCGGAGTTTATATCTCAATTATCAGCGTTTGATCTACAACGTTCAACACACAAGACGTGCGCAGGACTCCTCTCCCTCCTGCCTTTTGTTATTTTTTTACAACAAAATATAGATCAATAACTGCGAGATCTCTGTAAAGTAAATACGTAACAGTATTAGCAAGTGTTTGCCGTGAGCCAATCCACATTACCTCAGTCTTAGCAATGTGTACCGCACACTTCGTGATTATGAGTCAACTGCTCAACCTACAGTATACCCTAGGGTAATCGTTTTTTTTTCCGTATAATGTAAAATGAATAAATAGCCGTAAATAAATAAATAAATAAAAACTAACTTTGATATGAAGCTCTTTGTCTTCTTGTACAGCATCGTGAGGAATAAAAACATTGAAGAGTGGATACTCAGGCAAGGAAAGGACTCCCCCCTCAGAAGTAACAGTGAACTTGTGCGATTTAAGACGGGAAACAACTGCAAACGTTGAGCACTGTGTAATCTCAAATTCAGCAACCGGCAGATAATAATCAGGAATATCACTTGCAGAGGAAGGGTCTTTCAGTTTGCTGATGTCTGTAATAAAACATGCAGTCTTTCAGTTTCATGACGCAGTCAAACTTGGATTAAGACAACCTGCAAGAAGCGGTCATCCTTCACTAACTGCCAAAGTCGCGAAAAATTTCTTTTGTTACTTACTACAAACTGACCTATATCAGGCAATCAACTCTGTTATGCATCAGCCAGTTTTAATACTTCCCCCCTTCCTCTCTCTAAAACGACTCCTGAGACATAGCGGGGATGATCTTTTAAAAGTATGGTGAAACGTCTTAAATGTCTTTTTTTTTACTGGAGTCTTTGAAAAGGGATGCAACAAATTTTCTTGTCAATAAAACGGACTCAAACCTAAGGTTTACACGCGCTATGTTAACCAGGCCCCAGTTGTTCAAAAGCTGCATAGCGCTATCCAGCGGACAAATCTCTATCCAGTGGATAGTGCAATTGGTTTCCCTAATACTTACTCACTGAATAGAGATTTATCTAACGGATAGCGCTATCCAGCGTTGAACTACTGGGGCCAGACGGCTGTGTTGGGGCAACTTCATTAAGTAAAGAAGAACTCAATCATTTTATTAATTCAGTTATTTCATATTTTTATCCGTCTCATCGCCAACTTCTTTCTTACCTGCCGATGACCGCACGTCAACTGTTTCAGAAATGTCATCCCACTCGTTACGGTCCCTGTCAACTAGTTTTTTCGCCACAATCTCAAACCCCTTTAAGTTTCCCGCGCAATGAGAAATTACAAGCGTGACAGCTTTGTTGAAATCAAGACATTGAGCACTGTCGGTCGATACTTCGAGGATGCCACTAACAAGCGCTTCATTGTTGTTCAAAGGAGGGGAACAATCCGATGAATTCCATCTACGGACAGTGACTGTCCTTTTCTCAGACACAGCATCAGGAGGGAAAATTACATGTGCCTTCACTTTTTTAAGATTCCAGTGGGCGCCTTGTTTGGTCACTGTATCCCTTAAAAAATTAAACAAATTAAGAGTTTAAGACACCACGGGGTACTCCATACGTTTTAAAATAAACATTGCAATTCAATATGTATATGTTTCGCACGAAACATCCGGCGGCGTTGATCGCCACTTACTAAAAACACTAAAATATTAAGTAAGTATAACTGTGGCACGTATAAGATCACAGATAGTGACAAAATCTATAGGCATTTATGTACATAATTAATGTTTAAAGAGAAAAGTGCCTTGGCTCGTAGCCATGAAGATCCTTCTGGAACGGCCAACAATGAATAAACAAGTGATGAATCATTTGTCTTTTTCGTACTAGCGTAATGCTGTCAATTATCTACATCCCTTTTACACTCTTCCAACCTCTTCTTCTACAAAACTCTGGTAAAATAAAAAAATTTTTTTATTCGCTTAATGATGAACTGAAATGCAACTATTAACTGACACTTCAGGAAAAAGGCCTCTCCATGTGACCAAGCGTGAAGTCAAAATGGCTGAATATTGGTTAAGTTCTTTCTTCGTTTTAATGGACCGAGATTAAGTCGAGGTCTATAAAAGCGCCAAAAAAAAAAAAGAAAAATAAACGAGGCCAATTTCCAGCCATGTTGACCGAGCAAGCTTGTTTAATAAGGGATTTATTACATTGCTCGGCATAAAGAAAACTTTTTCATGAGGGCCTAACGCAGGAAATCCCGAGCGGGCAAGATGCGTTCAACTTGTCCGCTCGGGTAGCCAATCAGATCACAGAATTTCATCTTGCCCGCTCGTGGATTCAGCCATATATATATATATAATAAGGACACTTGAATCCCTCTCTTCAGTACATGCACCTGCAGGGAAGTTTGACTATATTTCTCTTTGTGTACATTACTCACTTAACGAATACTTACTTAATAACAACGCTTCGCGTGTTCATGGCACTATAACCGCCATCAACTTCAAATTCGTCTTCAGACTCTTCTTCAACCTCTTTGACCGATTCTCTATTAACCCTTCCTTGTGATCCTTTTCCAGTTAGCTGTTCAGTAACCCCCTCGGACGCCACTTCAACATCTTCTCCTGACCCTTCTGAGATCACTTCCTTGGTTTCTAATGTGATAATGTGAAGGTAAAAATAAAAAGGAGAATATGAGTAAAGAAAGAGCTCTACAAAAACAAATTTAAAAGAAAACAATGGTAAGTTCCATTTAAAACGTGTAATAAGGTATCATAGTGAAAAGTTACCTTTCGGTTTTAGCGAGACTCGTAGCTGTTTTTTCCTTCTCAAATCCTGTTAAGAGAAAATAGATAAGACAGAAAGGATTAACAAATAGCAATCCTTGTGTAATCAACAAAACAGACTCCTTTGGTAGAGTAGCAAGGGCTTTATTTTATGCCATTTTCAGTCGTGTTCGTCACTTCACCCCTGAAGTGTGTGACCTTCATCTGTGAAATAAGTAACTACGTTAAGTAACTCATTATTGTTCAAATTTGTCCATAGATACTTGATTGATTTTGCGTTGTACGACCACAAATTAATACTCTGGAACGTCAAAGTGAAGAAGTTCATAAAGGAAAAAATAGACTAACCCTGCATTACTGAAATTCTACTACATAACTTATCAAACCTAAACATTCTACCTGTAAAGCAGCGAGATAGACAATCTTTCTTTCGCGATCTCCGATAGAAGAAGCCAGGTCTTTCATCTCATTGAGAAACGTTTTCATCGTAGAGGGCTTCATTTCATGGTACTGTAATTCCCATAACGTTTCACGAAAGCTCAAATCTTCTTTCTGATATCTCTTACGAAGATCTTTCATTTTAAGCTCCTGGCACAGCTTCAGTATTTCCTCAATCATTCTCTCTCTGGCCACCATCATTTCGCACGACATCTCTGCACCTTTTCCTTCTTCCCACTGCTGTTGCCAAGTTGCTAAGAGGCTCTCCTTAAAGCTCTTGATACTTCCTTTCTCTCCTGTCTCTTTGTACAAATTTTCAACAGCCCTCCTTAGTGTTCGTTTCTCCTGTTTCATCTCGCCAACAAAGCCTGATCTCACAAGCACTTTTTTGAACAGCATTAGCTTCCCTTTCTTGTGCTTTACAAGTTTTTCATGATGACGAAGCTGACTGCAAATCTCAATTAAAGTCTCCAAAAATACAGTTCTGTCCCTTAGCATTTCATTTAGCACTTTATTGTCTGTTGCCTGATCAAAATCGTCGTTGAAGTCTTCTTCAGTTGCTCTCTGCATTTCGCCATAGAACCAAAGAGCGTCTTTCTTATATTGGTCTACCAACGCTCTTTCCTCTTTTTTCGTGTTGCCAAGCAAATGCAGAATGGCATCGATGATTTCTTTGTTGTACGCAGTAAAGCTGAACTGTGGAGAAGCTTTCTCTTCTTTCCAGAAACGCTCACAAAACACCAAAGCGTCTTGCCTGAATTCTTTTTTGTCATTTAAGGAATGACAAATGTCAAAGACGCTTTTGATAATCTGTTTCCAAACATCGCTTTGGTTCCCCGCACCCAATAATTTCTCCATTTTCCAAGCTTCTAAGAAAAAGTTCAAGGCTTTCTCATAAGCCTGTAAGTTTGCTTGGATGACTCCCAGTTGAAAAATGCTTCGCACGGTGTCCGGGTGATTTCCAAGAATTTTAAGCCTGATTTTGAAGGCCTTTTCTGCCTCCTCAATAGCTTCTTCGGATTTTCCTTGGCGAACGTAAACATCTGCCACATTGTAACGAAAATGTGCTTCACCTTCGTATCCTAAGCTTTTGAGCACTGCTAAAAGTTCAAGGGCATCTTTGTAACATTCCACTGCCTCCTCAAACTCTTCTTTGTACTTGTGAACTGTGCCAATCTGATTCTTGTAAACTGGCATGTCGTAGTGATAATCAGAGCCAGATAATTCCTCTCGCATCTTAAGCGCCTTGTTGTAGAACTCAAGGGCTTTGTCCGGTCTGTTACGTGCGAAATAACAATTGCCAAGAGCGTTATAACACCTGGCAAGATTTGTGTCAAGTTTTAACAGTCCCTCCATTAGGTCTAAAGAGGAGTTTAGAATTTTAATCGCTTTCTGGTAGTCTCTGTTTTGGCAGTAGATTTCCCCCTCCAAATACAAGAAAAGCCCTCGAGTCAGCCTAAAAGATTCGGTAGATTGATCATCAACTTGTTTTAATGACATGGATGCCTTCTCCAACACTTGAAAAGCTTTCTGAGCACCCTGAGCTTTTGAGACCAGCCTAGCTTCCCAACAACGTAACTGAGCACGAAATAAAGAACCTGCAAGAAAAGGGACACATTAAAATTGCCACAATTGTTGATTTAGGAAGTTATGTCTTTTCAAATGTACCTCAGATGTTACACAACGCTAGAGGCAATAGCAGAATTAGAAGCAGGGACACTGTTACATGGAGGTGATGGTGGTAACTAGTGGCAGTGGCAGTGGTGGTGGTAGTGCCAGTGGTTCTGTCAGCGGTTGTAGTAGTGGTAGTGGCAGTGGTAGTAGTAGTGACAGTGGTAGTGGCAATGCTAGAGGAAGTGGCAGTGGTAGTGGTAGTGGCGGTAGTAGTGGGTATTGGCAGTGGGTAGTAGCAGTGGTAGTGGCAGTGGGTAGTAGCAGTGGTAGTGGCAGTGGTAGTGGCAGTGGTAGTTGCAGTGGTACTGGCAGTGGCTGTAGTAGTAGCAGTGATGGTGGAAGTGGCAGTGGCTGTGGTAGTGGTGGTGGCAGTGGCAGTGGTGGTGGAAGTGGCAGTGGCTGTGGTAGTGGCAGTCGTAGTGGTGATGGCAATGGCAGTGAAAGTGGCTGTGGTAGTGGCAGTGGTAGTGGTGATGGCAATGGCAGTGGAAGTGACAGTGGCTGTGGTAGTGGCAGTGGTAGTAGTAGTGGCAATGGTAGTGGCAGTGGTAGTGGCAGTGGTGGTGGCAGTGGTAGTAGTAGTGGAAGTACTAGTGGCAGTGATGGTGGTTGTGGCAGTGGTAAGGGCAGTGGTAGTGGCAGGTGCAGTAGCAGTGGCAGTGGTAGTGCTAGTGGAAGTGGTGGTGGAAGTGGTAGCCTTCTAAAGTTTTATAAGCCAGTGACATGAAATGGAAGCAAATATTTTGTTCTTGAGTAAAAGGGGATTTACCTCAGTGCAAGAACCTGTGAACTTATGCTTTTTTTTGCACCTTTTGTTTTGTAGGTTCTTCTAAGGTGACTTCTTTGTTTTCTTTGTTTTACATTACCCGTGAATTTAACAGGTTCTTACACCAAGGATGAGCCACAATAAGCACTTAAACATAAAATTTAAGGGGTTTCAAATGGGTCGTAACATTGTCAAAGTAACATGTAAAAATACAGTGACCAATAATTATTCACTGACAACAGAGCATTTGATTATGGAAAAAGGATTTGAAATTTTTTAGTGCAGTATTTGTGCTGAAAAAATGCTAGAATGATTTTGGGACACCTGGTCCCGGTTGTTCAAAAGTTCAATAGCACTATCCACTGGATAAATCACTATACAGTAGATAAGTATTAGGGAGGTCACTTGCATTATCCACTGAATAAAGATTTATCCAGTGAATAGTGTTATCCACACACAACAACTGGCACTTGGTTAAAAAAATATGAAGAGTTTTTCTTGTTTCTTTCTTTCTTTGTTTTTTAATTTCCTTGTTATAAAATAATTGACAAGAAAAACATACCTAAGTTTCCATCATCTTTGCACATCTCTGCCCAGGAATTGAACAGCTTAGTCTGCTTCTTTCCAGACAACATAGCATTAAAAAGGGACACAATCAATGCACTTTCATGGTATCCACCTGGAACAGTAAAGTACTCTGGTAACAAGGCAATGTCAATAGCAAACTCAAAGTTTGGACGATCTCTTTTAAACTCATCGAATGCTCTGATGTAGCTAGACTCTATAAATCCAGCAATTCGTTTCATCTTTGACATAAAGTGCCCATAAAATCGGCCCTTCGCTTCAGTGTAAGATTCATAGAACATGGCATCATTTTTAATGCTTTCAGCATACTTTCTTAAAAGTGGATGAATGTCATACATCAAACTTACTGCTTGGCATCTTCGTCAATTACATGAATAATTTCATTGGTTACTAGTCCTTCAAGATGTGCCACTGCTTCTGACATGCTTACACCAAGAATTTTGGCAGCAGTTGAAGCAGTGAAGGGTCCATGAAACAAGGATATCGAAACAGCAGAAACCCTCAAAATGTCAGATGGTAAAGTATAGAACATTTCTCTGATCACTGACATTTGCTCATCATCAATGCCTTCTTCTTCTGAATTAAAAGGTCTTTCTTCTGTATCCTCTTCATGTTTTGATTTCACAGGAACTCCAGCTTCCTCTTTAGAGTTCATTTCTATCTCATGAATAAGATCACTGGGAGATTTTCTCCTTTGTTTCAAAATTGCAGCTGTTCCTTTCAATAGCAATGGAACTCCTTTGCAGATGTCAAGAAGCTTCTTCTTCTCCTGTGCCTCAAAATGAAATGTTTCTGTAGGTAGCAAGATTTTCTCTGAAAAATTATTTGTAAGAGGTTGCAACTTAAAATTAGACACCTTCTCTGAATTATTCAGCTGAGTCCTTGAAGTCAGAAGCACGTGTAATGAACCTTTCTCGCCATCAAACTCTGACAGCTTTCCCAGGAAGTATAAAAACTGTGTTCTTAAGTTCTCGCCCTCCTTTCCCTTTCCTTCAGTGAACTGATCCACATTGTCAAGAAGTAAAAGAACAGAAGGACCTTCGCTTGTCACTTTCAACAGGTCATGAATTCTTCCAACAACAGTACTCATGTCAAAACGAACGTTTTGGATATTTAGGTCAAGTTTACCCATGATGTTCAGATAAACTGCCGTCATATCTTTAGCTTCTCTTAAATCAAAGACATATTTCTTCCCAGCCCATTTATCACAAATGATCTTGGCAAGAGTTGTCTTTCCCACTCCAGCGGATCCATACAAATTAACAACAAAAGGCTTCATTTTAAGTTTTTCCGTAATCTCCTTGAACTCCTCAATTCTTCCGTGTAATTCCTTTTCCGGCTCAGGCTGCGATGGACGGGAGATCTCAAAGTCTTCAACTCTTTTGTTAATGTCATGCTCATTGTTTGATCTTGTACCAATGAACTCCTTGATTAGAGTCAGTTTTTTACTCGAAATATAACCGAACTTACACAAACGATCCAAACATGACAACAAATCTTGATTTCCCAGCGATTTAAATTGCTCTCCATAAATTCGTTTTGAAGACTTCACGACATCCTCTGATTCAGCTGGAGAAAACTTCGAGGATATGTCCCTAAAAAGTTGATTTAGCTCAGATGAGCCTTCCGCCATAGAGGACGCCATGATCGGGGAAGTACTTGGTTATGGAATAGTCGAGCCGAACAGAAAGGAAAAGTGTGACGTCACGTAACCATGGTAGCAACGACGACGGCGAGAAGGCAAAGAAACTTACAACATCAGCCTCGTTCCCAGTCGTCCATATATTCCCACGTCTTCCCACGTAACATAATATTAAGATTGATTCACATGCTTCGCCTTTTCAAAGCTCAAGAAACACACCCGTATAACTTAGCAGCTCTTACTTAACGGGATTTGAACCCTGTGTTGCGCTAAAAATCTTCGTTGCCAATCGTCCCGTGTAACAAAAACTTTGCTCTTGCTTCACGCATTTTTGTACTTTTCTTAGCCGTCATTGCGCGATTGCGACACGAACTTTCTAATTTCAGACGCCTGCTTTAGGACGTGAACACAACACAAAAATTTCATTTTTCTTTTTCTAAACTTTTGATACGGTCCTTTCGCATTCAACCCCAGAAAAATTCGCCAACATTTGACAAATTAAATGAAATTGAAAAAGATCGATGAATTTTAAGTTACGTCACGTTTTCGGTTTGTTGTCATCCAGAAATTTCGCTACCATGGCAACGTGTGACGTAACGACTTCTCCTTTCTGTTCCACAAATATCACACGTTCTAGTTATGGATATTTCTTTCGCGTTTGTCTAAAACCAGGGTTGTTTTCCATTAACCACAAATTCCCGGAAATTCCTGTTGGGATGTAAATGGCAAACGTTCTTCGGTTCGTCCCACTGGAAAATTCCCGGAACAAACGGAAATTCTGAAAAGGTAGTCCCGTTTTCCGGGTTGGGACGTCCCGAAGTTTTAAGGTTAGGGTTAGGGTCCCGAATGGAAATTCGTTTTCCATTTACAAGTTTCTTGAGTTTCGTACTATTTTCGTTCTAGTTTCATGTAGCAACTAGAATCCAGTCTAGCGCGGCGCGACAATCCGGAAGTTTTAGGCAAATGGTAAACGACGCGTAACCGTTCTTACCGAACAAAAATTCCCGAACCAAAATTGCCGGAATTTTTTTATAAATGGTTAACAACCCAGGGGTGCTTACCATTTTATAGAAAATTTCGGAAATTCAGGACGGAAGGTAAGTGGTAAGGTCACTTTTCGGAAATTCCAACCGAAAATTGAGGAGTACGTTTTGAGTTAGTCCGTTCATTCCGGTTAGTACGAACCAAACGAAAATGTTGCTTACCATTTACCAATTTCTCGGCTCCTTCTCGGTTCCAGACTCACGCTACACAAATTCGCCCGGCCCCTTTTCTGGATTCAAACCGTAACGGATGTGGCAATTCTACAGTGAACCAGTGAATGGTTTACCATTATGCTTTCGTCACCCCAACTTCCCTGGGTTCCAAAGGTTATTTTTTTCTGATCTAATTAACAATTATTCCGCGAGCCCGAATGGGCTCCGAGTCAATAGTCCATGAGGCCGAAGGCCGAGTGAGCTTTTGACTCAGAGGCCATGAGGGCGACAGGAATAATTGTTTTAGTAAAATCCAACTAGTTGGTCAAAAATGTCGAGAATAATAACTTTTAGCTAGTTAAAAGCTAGCCTTTAATCCTTTTTTGCCTCCAAAAAGCCCGCGCTTTTCGCTACTAGGAGGCTATAACATGTAGCCTAGTAGTAGCTCAACCAATCAGAACGCACCGTTGATAATAGATTACTAATTCCTGATAGTTCGACGTGAAGCCGTGACCCTGGGTATTTTGAGAACGGACCTCTGGAGCCAGGGTACACCCCAACCGGATTTTTCTGTCAAATGGTAAGCACCTCAGGAATCTGGAATCCGGAAAAATACTACGACGAACGCCGACTGACTCCGAAAGTTTAGTGATAAGGGTAAGGAAGTGAGTGTATCAGGTTCCAGTTAGGCAAACATTTTCGACCTTAAGGTGACGCGACCCAGTTTTTTGGGGGGGGTACCATCCCACTTTGAACCTCTCTGGTATCCCCACCTTTACTTTTATTGTAAGTTTAACACATAGAATGGATAACATATAGATCGATCTACAATATAACATAAAATTTTTGGCGATCGGAGTAAATGTCACGTGGTTATAATGCCACGCCCCTTTGAGGTCTAAGTCGAAAATCTGCTGTTGCCGGCATTTTTTCGTGAAAATCTCTCGGCTACACATAGTGCGCATTAGTGCCTTGCGCTGAACACAATTTCACCAAAATCGCAAGGACCCAATGCGAGAAATTCAGCGGTTTCCAAATTTAGGTCATAATTTATGCGAAAATGATAAACAAACTTTACACGATTATATCTAATAAACTATGAGATTCATCTCTTTATTTTGGGCATCGTTATAACAGATGGGTCCTTGCAAGTCAGCACAACTCTTTAAGGCCTTGTAAATGCGCGCGATTTCGAGCAAAGCAAACATATAGAAATTATAGTTTTCTCTACTTGTTGACGTTTGTTAGCGTTTAAGAGTCCTTCTCACGAAAAAAGCGTTTTTTCTTAAAAATTCGTAGTTTTTTTTCCTTCAAATTTTTTCAGGACCACAATTGATTAACTAACTACCCGGACTCTGAATTTCATGGTCATTGAAAGACTGTGACATTATCTTCTATAAGCCCAAACTTGAGAAAACATTGAAGATTTTTAGCGTTTTGGCTGAGTTTGTGTTTTGGGAGTTGTCTATTGTTTCTAGTCTGTCATTATACAGCATTCTTGTTCAGCTAGCGTGTTGTTAAAGAGGTTGGTAGTTTAAGAAGTAGTGGAATGCATTCGGGGATTTTTCCAGCCTTATTGGCCAACTTCAGGCAGTGTTAGGATTGTTGTCTTCAACATTGTTTCATTTTTTTAAACGGATAAATAACGACGAAGCACACCACTGAAGTGTTTAGACCCAGAGTGGACTAAACGAGAAGCACGCATTTTTTTAACAAGATTCTCACATTGTGTCTCCCACTTGTACTTTTTGTCGTAGGCCTCTCGGAGAGAGCAAGCTTCCTTTAGCCGGGTTTCCCTTGGTGTATGTCTCACACGACTAATAGCTTTGCCCAATTCTTCGGCATTGTCAGAATCAACCAAAAATGTCCATCCAAAAGTAATAGTGTTAATAGCTTTTCCGAGTCCCGAATTATCGCTCACCAAAATCGGAAGTCCAGCGGAAAGTGCTTCAAGAGCGGTGAGGCCAAAGCCTTCCGTTCGAGACGGCATAACAGCGAGATCCGCCTCGCAAAAGAAACGCTTTAGTGTGTCGCGACTCTCAACAAAGCCCCGCACAATTAGCTGAGAAGAAGGAATGCCACACTCCAGTAACCTATTTTTAAATTCTTCTTCTTTACCTTTAGGCGCTCCGACAAATATTAGAAGGTAGATTTTATCGTTCAAGCCTGCTACAGCTTGGGCGGCTATATCGTATCCCTTTAGTTTAAAATCTTCCGAGTCACCCCGACCAAACACTAAGATTCGGAACCTTTCTCTCTCCTCACTGGCTTGCTCCAACTTTGCGAACTCCGGAAAGATTCCAGGTGTGATATCTATCACCTGTTGATCCTTACGGTACGACCGCAGGGGGGCGGAGATGGCGTCCGCTAGCTTCGGTCCTATGGCCGCGACGATTTCAGCCTCCTTACACAGTTCTAGTTCAGCTTGGTGTTTTTCCTCGCCTTTTGGTAGCGCTGTTTTGCCTTCCTTAAGCATTGCAAGCTCTTCACTGGCGGTGTGTACTATATGAACTCGTTTGCATTTGCGCTGTTCTGCTATGACCTGAGCTGGTACTCCGAGCTTCTGACCATGGCCTATAACGACGTCAATGTTGAGATCATCAGAAGGAAAACACAATTTCATGATGCGATCAGACGTGGCCATCACTTCTGGTGTGGCAAGACGCACATTAAATTCATGAGCTTCCCGCTTCTCTTTTTCATCGTAACGTAGCAGTAGAACGGTTATCTCTACATCAGGCTGACGTGCCAGGTGCTTTGCTAGTTCTCTGTTCAGCGTAGACAAACCGCCCTTTGAGGATCCCCACTCGTCTCCCAAAAGAGTAACTCTTAGAGGTCTTCTATCAAAGGAAATTGGCGTTCTGTCAATTGTGTTATCCTACAGAAAGAGAAAGGAAGTACTGCATTTAAACATACACAAAAAGAGTAGGAACGATCATCATCACATGAGCTAAATTTGCCTGGACAAAATATAATTTTAGTTAATTGTTTTGCACTGCCTATTGGAACCTTATCCCCATAAAAGTGGCATGGCACACAGCCGCTGCAAGACAACAAGCTAATAAATCAAGTAAGAGAACTGGCAAAATTCGTTGCGTTTATCTTTATGCTTTATAGTATTAGGAAGGAGGACCAGGAATATGAGACTTTCTCAGGTAAATTAAGGCATGGGTCCCCAATGATTCAGTAAAAAAGCAATGGGGGGTGGTCTATCTCTGAGCACGTAAGCAGTAGAAAGATGAAACTTTGCCAGATACATGCATGTGTGGTTTCTGTCAATTAGGTGATGTTCAATTATGCAAATGTTGTCACGTGACTCCACACGGCCAGAAAACAATAAAAAGTCTTTAAACAAAAATGGCAACACTTTTTGTTGTGAGTTATTAAACCGGACTGGTTTAGGACAATGTATAATGCAAGCATCTACAAGACTGTGCTTGGCCTTTTTTGAATTTTTCACTGTTTTAGAAAATAAACGGCTTTTTCAACTAGACCAAGTCCCCCAAAGCAATTGTATCCCATCTTAACGCCTTCGATTTTAAATATCTAAAAAAGGCCAAGCACAGAAGTGATACATTAAACGGCATTAACATTATGCAACCGGTAAAATAATTGAAGACGCACGAAAAAGTGTTGCCGTTTGAAGAACTAGCTTTTCCAGCCAATGGAGGTCACGTGACCTAATTTGCATAATTTTAAAGCACAAAATTGACACAAACTAAAAATGTGGTTAGCTGGCAAAGTCTTATGTCTCTTCATCTAAAGCTCTTAGATATAGAACACCCCCTCACTTTTGAAGAGAGCAAATTAAGGCAAATTGAGGCCCATGCCTTAATTTACCTGAGTTAAAAGGCAAACAAGGAAAATTGGAAGAAAGAGAGAACTGCCACCCAGATAAGCTAATTCCTTTCCCGCAAGGAATATTAAAAATTAATTAATTTTTCCCACCGTTGATTTCGTAATACATGGTCAATTCAAGGGAGCATTAGTTATTACAAGCATATACATTTCGCTTAGTTTTGAAATAGAATTATAGCGCAAACAAGAGTAGTTTTTTGTATGCGACGCCCACAACATCAAGGCAATGGCCAGGTGCCTTTATACTGTGGGCAACGTGGTGATGGGTTTTATACTTCACATGTACCGTGGCAATTTTCGTATGGTTTACGGTATACACTGATAGTTTCGAAACAACCAATCATGAAATTTTGGATAATATTGAGGCCCAGCACAATACTCACAGCCTTTTTGCAGGAAAAATTCTAACGAAGTTCTTATTTTTCGCGGCTGCTGTTTGAAATAAAATTCTATAAGATCAAATTATTTTTACAATGTACAGGAGCCCGAATCTGTTTAAATTCCTAAGCCCCAAATGACTGGCACAAAAACTTACCGTATGATCAGTGCTTTGAGTGGGAATTTTTAAGTGCAATTTACACAACGGAGTTCTCCCTGTTTGCTCTAAGGTCCTACAAAATTCTACTTGTGCTGGGTCTTTGTTTTTAAACAGACGAACTCGCAAGTCTTTCTTAAACGGTTGTTCGTCTCTTAACCTGCATAAAATGGAAAAGAATATACCCATGAAGTGATACCACAGAGCCAAAGATTCTTAACTTGAGAGAATTTAACAAAAACGACGGGGGGTGGGGAGGGGGGGGTACTAGACCAATATTTGGGTATAGGTGAGTCACTGAGAGTTTGAAACCCTGACCCTGGTTAGGAAAAAAATTCCTAAAATACATACCCTGCAGTAGGACAACACCCTCAATTTTATTACCCCAACAAAGGACAAAATCAGCGCCAGAACGAAAATTCATCTAGCAAATCAAATCAATCTTGCAGGCAAAACGAAAAAATATACCCTGTGGGATAAGGAGGTCAATAACCATACCCTGTTTAGCGGCACATCCCCGAATAGGCCATACAAGGGAGTAACCCTTCCCCCTCCCCGAAAAAAAGAAAGCCTCATTAAATACAACTTCATGTTTTCTTCGAACCCCATTTTACGGACAACTGCTTAATACAGACACCTCATTATTACGGGCAGTTTGCTTTGTCCCTGGGGAAAGAAATCCTTTACATTTTCTCTACATTCAACCCATTTAATGCGGACAACGGACACTTGTTTCTTGCCTAATCAACAGACTCTCACAGAAGGTTAACCTCGCTAATGCTGACACTTCATTATCAACTGTGTGCTGCAATAAACCTTTCCTTTCAAAAGGTTAACCTTTCGTTGACAGCAAGTCGATGTTCCCAGGGCTACAGTTCACCGGATAGGATGAATTTAAGACGACAATTTCAGGCTTTTTTGGCATCCAACAAGATATGCAAAGAACGGTTTTTGATTAAGTAATGTATAAATGAGCGACTTTTAAGTGCTTCCCTTAACATAGTCCGCGGAATGACGGTTTTGTGAAAGTTAGGAGATGTTTAATTTGACGGTGCAGGTGTCCTGTCTTATTTCTTAGTATTTGTTCAAACAAATCAGTGTTTTATATGTTGCACGAAATGTGGTTTTTATATAGACTTACATGAGATAAAGATCCTTCATGTCTTTCTCATTAAATGGGCTTATTCCCTCTGATACATGTACGAATGCTCTGTCATGCCCAGGAATCATGTCTGTGTCCGAACTTCCGTAAATAGGTGTTATTTCTTTTTCTTCAAGATCGCCTATCACCTGTCCTGTCAGGTGAGAAGGGCAGCAAATAAGGCTCAAAATGTCTGGAAAATCCTCACGAAAGTAAGCGACGAAGTCTGCTTGTTTGGGCTGATAAAAAATTCGAAGTGTCAGTTCAGCAATACTGGAGTATGCTTTTCTCAGAACCAGAAAAGGGAAATACCTAAAATAATAATAAAAAAGGTTAGTGGCACTGTGTTGATAAAGATTCTTGAAATGGCAGAGGAGAATGCCGCGCCCCAGTCGCCAACCGCTATAATAGGGAGCTCAGTTAAGCAACGAAGACGGCGACAGTAACAAGAAAGTCAAAAACAAGCTCTGAAGAGGTTTGAATTGGCAAAACAAAAGCTTTGCACGTGCATAACGGTTTTTTTGCACTATTCTTTGCCGTTACTGTACAACTGCCTAATTTTACGTTTTGTGGAGGACGTCAGTGAACACAACACAACGACTTCATTTTCCTTTTCCTGAACTTCAGTTGACTCGCAGTACAGGACCAAGAAATACATTTTCCCTTACAAATTCTTTATTGGAAACTTCTTGTACCTGTAACGTTAGAAACAATAATAGCTAGCTGTAAATTTGAATAACCTTTTTTCAAAGCCAAAATTGACGTGGGAGTAAGACGACCGAACAACTAAAGCGGCAAAGATCTCACCAAATGAGCATTAATCGGCTAGTCAGTTAACTCATCGAGACTAGACACTAGGTTTTCCTCCTCAAGAAGTCAGTTAACTTCTAAAATTTGTCGCTACTTCCTACTTCAGCACAGCTTTGCAACTTAGTTACAATAAAACGGAAGTACAAGATGAAACGAACCTTTAACTCCAAAGGACATTTCGCGTTAGGAGCAACAGCATTCTCAGGGATTGTAACTATCACACCCGGATGGTCAGGATGGCTGAATGAGCCGCCTTTGGATGTGATGATGTAAGTTGGAGAAGCCTTCAGACGACAAACTACGGCGTACGTTGAGTACTCAGTTATGTCAGCCTGGGCAAGCGGAAAATATACGCTCGGTATTTCTATGTGAGAAGGATAAGCATCCTCGATCTCTGTAATAAGAATCAGATATAATTAAAATACAACTTTGGTGTCTCCCCATCTCCTCCGCCCCGCCCCATCCCCCCCGCCTCTCTTTCTCTCTCCCCGCTCAGGAAACTAAGTAGACCTTCAGGTTCAAACAGGAGATCGACAATACTAAATCCCTATCTCTCAAAGGGAAAAGACCCAACTTATACGACACAGCATTGTAGATACGTAGACCTCATCCATCTCACTAAAATAAGGTCTGTGAAAGATAAATCAATAATCGACATAACAATCTGCTACAGTTTCCTTTAAGGAAAATCATGCAAGGTTCGAGTTTTCGAGAGATAGGAAAAATGAAGGAAAAATGGGAAATTAGTGCGTCTTTCTTTCTCGCAATGTTTTTTCTTCTTTTCCGCTTATGTTTATTAGCGCAGTGTATCTGTTGTTCTTTTTTAAAATGACCAAAAAACAAACTAAGTATTTACGATAGAGTTAGATGTATCCTAGCCTGAATGCGAAGGAGGAAAATGACTTCAAGTTACCGAGAGGTTAAAAGTAGCAAGAGTTCGAGTTATTCAGATAAAATTACAGCAAGAAGTATGGAGTCAATCCAGGGAATTCTTCACTTTTGGGTTCGAGTTAGCACGAGCTTCGAGTTACCGACGGTTCGAGTTTCAGCTAGTCAACTGTATATGGAATAATTTTCTACACCTTGTCGACACCGCACGTTCCTGGTTCCATCCAGATCTTCCCATTCATTATTCTCCTTGTCAATCAGCCTTTTTATCACCAGCTCATAGCCAGGTAGGTCCGGCGCACTGTGAGATAGCGACAACTTTACCTTGGTGCTGAATTTCTGACCTTGGCCACTGATAGAAGATAGTTCAATAACATTGCTAGTAATGGCCTCATGCTCCTGCAAATGGGGTGAACAGGCACTGTACTTCCACCTGTGGACCACTAATGGCGTAGGCTCAGACACAGCATCACGAGGGAACATCAGGAGAACACCCCCTTGTTTAACGGCCCAGTTAGTACCTTCACTTGTTACTGTTCCTCTGCAATCAATTAGAGTTTCAGCAGTTGGTCGGACAGAACAATAAATAGTGACCGGGGCCCATGTACGTTATAGGCTAGATTGCGACGTTTAAAGACTTCATGACACAGTCAAACCTCCACTAACGGTCCCTTCTCCACAACGGCCACTTTTTTGTTCCGGTGGACAGTACATACAGTACATGCATTGTTTAAACCTCTCTACAACGGCAATGGCCACTAAAGCGTGTCCCCAACGGCCAAGATAATCTCTCGACAACGGCCAGTTTTTTCAGCGACATTTAAAAAAGTCAAGAATGGTCATGAAATTTGATCCTTAGGCACGTTCCATGATTAATCGCGGCGATTGTATTTTGATTGTGGTCCATTTTTACTGCTGCAGTAAGCATAAATATTAATTGCCTACGATTCTTTTAGCAAATGTTGGGAACCTTGTCGATTGATTGTCGCGTTAAAAATTTGAAGTTTTTTGTGTATTTTATCTCTCTAAATTACATATGATTGGATTACCATTATGGGATAAAGTAAGCATGAACTTAGCACAATACTATCTAAAATAAATTTTTCACCCCATAACGGCCACCTTTCCACAACTGCCACGTTCTTCTGTCCCCAAGGTGACCGGTGTGGGAGGTTCGACTGCACCTGCTAGCAGCTGGTGAGTGTGCGTCCTCGTTTCTTTCTTTCTTCATAGTTTTTTCTCATAAAGACAATATTTTTAGGGGCGCCATTTTTAAGGGAGGCAGTGTGACCGTGCGGTTAGTAATCATGTTCAATTCTCTTACCTTGATATGAAGGGAAAAATACGTTTAAATAATTATTGTCGACTCGAAGAATAAATTGTTGAGTACAAAAATGATACTTACTCGAATACGGCTACATAACCACCTTCGACTTCAGTGTCTTCCTCAGACCCAACTTCAACCTCTTCTTCGGACACTGCCTCCAAAACTTCCCCCGACACTTCTGTGGCCACTGCCTCAGATACTTCTACCAGAGTGGCTCCTGAAGATATCGCTTCAATGTCTTCATCAGCTTCAAATTCCTCTTCCTCTTCACTACCACTCTTAGGGGTTTGTTCGGGTGAAGGTTTTTTTTCTGCTCTAAGGACTTGCGGGGTCAACGCTTGAATGACTAGGATAAAGAAAGGCCTTAACTATGGCAAATAATTATAATTAATAAAATTATGGGAGTACCATTAAATACCTGGTTCACATATAAACAAAAATCGTCTACGAATATCAAAACGAAAAGATCAGCTGAGCTTAATTAAACAGTAACACGACGACAACTACATAACGAACCTCAAAAAAGAACAACATTTACAGGTTAAGCAAGCAAGACAACTTCTCTGATACAGACCATTTTTGCCCATGTCTCTTTTTTTTTTTTTAAAGGAAAAATATGACATACGCTACCTTTTTGAATTAGCCCGGGACCTGCTTCCTTTTCCTTCTTCAAAGCCTAGCAAAAGTACGTCAAGCAAAAGAGATAAATGTCGAGTTATGAAGCATACGGCCTTATAACAACATGACAGACTTATTTCAAATAACAAACGGGCGCTTGACTTTTGTTGTCGCTTTCACCACTTTCTAAGCTGAATGTTTCTGACCTCCTTTTTGTCAGAAGTGTCACAATGCAATTTTTTCAGAAACTTTCCAATTTTGCCTTTCAATATCCTACCAGAACAATGATGGTGTTACAATAGGTCTGGAGGTACCTCTCTATCAAAGAAAAAGTCAAGTGGGGATGTTCATCTCGACGGCCTCCAAGACCTACGGCCAAGTACAAAACACATACGATTTATTCTAAACAAAAATGGGGTAAAACCTTGTACATCCGTAAATCAAAACACTGGATCGGCAAGAGGTGCAAGTTCATCTAGGAAACACTAATACTTGTTGCATTACTAAACATTCTTACCTGTAACGCATCGCGGTATTCATTCTTTCTTTTACGATCTCCAATCGACGTGGCCACCTCTTTCAGTTCATTCAGCAATCTTTTTATCTCAACATTCTTCATGTCACTGCGCCGAATTTCTAACAATCTATCACCAAAGCTCAAAGCTTCTTTTCCGTATCTCTTACAAAGATCTTTCATTTCAAGTTCTTGGCATAGCTGTAGTATTCCGTTGATTATTCTCCAACTCGTCAACAACTTTTCTCTTGGCTCCTCTTTGTCTTTTCCTTCTTCCCACTGCCTTTGCCAGGTTGTCAAGAGGTTTTCTCGAAAACCTTTAATACTTCCTTTCTCTCCGAAGTCTTCATACAAATTTTCTACGGCTTTCCTCAGCGTTGATTTCTCCTGTGTCTTCTCGCCAACAAAGTCAGACCTGAGAAGGACTTTCTTAAACAGTTTCATCTTCCCCTGTTTGTGCTTACGAAGTTTTTCATGCTCATCGTGTCGACTAGAGAATTCAATTAACTTGTCCAAGAAGGCAGTTCTCTCTCTCAGCAGTTCATTAAGCACTTTGTTGTCTGTTGCCCCGTCAAATTCATTGTTAAAGCTTTGCTCAGTAATTCCTTGCATTCCATCATAGAACCAAAGAGCTTCTTTTTCGTATTTGTCTGTGAGAGCTTTTTCTTTCTTATCTGTCATTCCAAACTTACTGGTTCTTTTCTTCAGTAGAAATAGTATGGCGTCAATAATCTCCTTATTGTAAGGAGTAAAGTTAAATTGTGGAGAAGCTTTCTCTTTGTCTTTGTCTTTCTCTTCTTTCCAGAAACGCTCACAAACGCCAAAGCGTCTTGCCTAAACTCTTCTTTTTCTTTTTCGGCACCTTTCTTCTCTAAGAATTCATGCATATCAAAGACGCCTTTAATAATAAGCCTCCAAACCGCACTGTGGTTCCCAGCACCCAATAATTTCTCTATTTCCCAAGCTTCTAAGAAAAAGTCCAAGGCTTTGTCATAAGCCTGTAAGTTTGCTTGAATAAGTCCCTGTTGAAAAATGCTCCGCACGGTATCCGGGTGATTTCCAAGAATTTTAAGTCTGATTTTAACCGCCTTCTTTGCCTCCTCTCCGGCTTCTTTGTACTTTTCTTGGCGAACGTAAACATTGGCGAGATTTCTACGAAACAGTGCTTCATCTTCATACCCCAAACATTTGAGCTTTTCTAAAAGTTCGAGAGCATCTTTGTAGCATTTCACTGCCTCTTCATACTCTCCTTTGTGCTCATGAACTGTGCCAATCTGATTCTTGTAAACTGGCATGTCGTAATGATAATCAGAGCCAGATAATTCTTCTCGCATTTTAAGTGCCTTGCTGTAAAACTCGAGGGCTTTCTCCGGTCTGTCAAGTCCGTAATAACAATTCTCTAGAGCGTTGTAACACCTGGCAACATTGGTGTCAAGTTTTAACGGACCCTCCATGAGGTCTAAGGAGGACTCTAAGCATTCAATCGCTTTGTGGTAGTCTCTGTTTTGGTAATAGATTTCTCCCTCAAAATACAAGTAGAGCCCTTGGGTCAGCTTGAAAGATTCGGTAGATTTGTCATCAACTTGTTTTAATGACGTGGATGCCTTCGCCAATACTTCATATGCTTTATGAGCACCCTGAGCTTCGGAGACCAGCCTAGCTTCCCAACATCGTAACTGAGAGCGAAATAAAGAACCTGCAAAAAGAGGGCACTTTACATTTGCAACAATTGTAAACTTTGACACGCTGAGTCTATTTGATTCTCTTTGTAAATATACCTCAGTTGTCAGAGTGCTCGAGAAAATGGCAGTGTTAATTTGAAGGCTGTGTTGCACTGTGGTGATAGCAGCAGGGACAGTAGCAGTAGCAGTGCAGGTGGTGGTGGAAGTGTCAGATGTAGTGGTTGTGGTAGTGGTGGTATACTAAGAGTGCTACATGTAATTCATAGTGGTGGCAAAAGTAGTAGTGGTGATGGCTGTGGTACTCTGGTGCAATAGTGGCAGTGGCAGTGGTTATGGTGCTGTTAGTGGTGGTGGTGGTGGTAGTAGTAGTAGTATTGGTAATGGTACATGTACTGGTAATGGTGGTGGTGGTAGCAGCAGTGTAATAGTAGTAAAGGAAGTAGTAGTTTTGGTAGTAGTGGTCATGGTAATGTAGAGGTGGTGGTGGCGGTAGAAGTAGTGGTTGTTGTATTGGTAGTGGTGGTGGTAGTAGTAGTGGTGGTTGTGATATTGGTAGTAGTGGTGGTGGTAGCAGTAGTGGTGGTTGTGAAATTGGTAGCAGTGGTGGTGGTGGTAGTGGAACTAGTAGTGGTGGTGGAAGTGGAAGTAGTAGTGGTAGTGGTAGTGGTAGTGGTAGTGGTATAGTGGTAGTAATAGAATGCTTCATTTGTATGACCATTACATTTTACAGTATAACAAAAGCTAATGTTGATTTCTAAAATTAATTTCAAAGCAAGTGGTCGTGGTGGAGGTGGTGGTGGCGGTAGTGGTAGTCACTGTTCTCCTTATCAGGTGGTAAACAGTAAAAATTTACTACCAGAAGCAACAGTTCTAGCCACCTGCGACTGCTTGAAGGTTTAGTAGATTTTACAAAACAAAGGTTATGATCCGATCACATTCTCACAAGAAAAATCAATAAATACATATGGAAAAGTAATAAAGTACATGTATATATACAAAGCTTTTCTTTTTATCATGGGCCATACATTTAGAAAGAGATCATTGAAGACAGAGTAAAATTATTGGAATCAAATGCATGTTTTAAATTGTTATCTAAAGATAACAATGGCCGATTTGCATAAAATAGGTCTTAAAATGAGGGAATGACATTTCAGACTGAACTTAGCTCCTAAATTTCCCAGCAAGGGTGGGGCCATGTCCCTCATTCCACTACCCCCCTACCCACCAGCAAAGTGGGCCTCTGGTGCATATTTTTTGCTTTACTGGCCATGGATGGTCCCTTACTTGCTCAGCTAAAATTTACGGAAAATTCTGGGTAATGGTAGTGGTGGTGGAAGTAGTATTGGTAAAAGTGTGGTTATGGCAGTAGTACTTGTGGTGTTAGCATGCACTGGAAAAGTCCACTTTGTTTAAATAAATGGGTGGCAACAGCATTTGCTTCAATGAAAGAATTCTGAAATTTTTTAGTGCAGTATTTGGGATGAAAATAAAAGGCTAGAAACCAATTTGACACCTGGGTAAAAAGTCATGCAGAGATTTTGGTCATTTCCTTGTAACAAAATAATGAAAAGAAAAAACATACCTAAGTTTCCATCATCTTTGCACATCTCTGCCCAGGAATTGAACAGCTTAGTCTGCTTGTTTCCAGGCCACATGGCATTAAAAAGGGAAACAATCAATGCACATTCATGGTATCCACCCGGAACAGTAAAGTACTCTGGTAACAAGGCAAGGTCAATTGCAAACTCAAAGTTTGGACAATCTCTTTTAAACTCGTTGAATGCTCTGATGTAGCTCGCCTCTATTAATCCAGCAATTCGTTTCATCTTTGACATAAAGTGCTCATAAAATCGGCCCTTTGCTTCAGTGTAGGATTCATAGAACATGGCATCATTTTTAATGCTTTCAGCATACTTTCTTAAAAGTGGATGAATGTCATACATCAACTGCTTGGCATCTTCGTCAACTACATGAATAATTTCATTGGTTACTAGTCCTTCAAGCTGTGCCACTGCTTCTGACATGCTAACACCAAGAA